TTTAGGAATTACTATTTAATTTACTATTTTGTAAAGTTTGTTTAGGTGTTTGTGTTTAGTCTGTAGTCTTAAGAACTATTACACGGACGCGACTTTTAGACGGACTTTCCCGTTTTACTTTTTCCCAGTCGACTTTCCTCGATCTGTAGGTACTTTTACACCTTTAGGTGTCCCCTTTTCCCCTTTTCCATCAAGTTCATACTTGATTTGGTACAATTTATTTTATAGGTTTGCTAGACATCATTAGAATGTTCTGTGTTTTTCCTACAGCTTTGCTGGAAAAATTTCGTAGTGTTAGACTTATGACTGACATACTATTTTCCCAGACGATGTTTCATTAATAACTCGTTCTGTTTTTTTTTTCCATTTTCCCAGACGGTGTTTCATTAATGACTCGTTCTGTTTTTTTTTTTCCATTTTCCCAGACGGTGTTTTATAGATAACTCGTTCTGTTTTCTTTATGCAGCTATGCGATTATTCTATGTAGGGCGAAGGAGCCGACTACATTGAATCAGTGGTATTCGATAGTGCATTAATTTTGTGATGCATTCATTCTTTTGTAGTGCATTCCTTTTGTATTTTGAAATGCATTCATTTTGTATTAGATTGCATTTAATTTTGTAGTTACTTGATCATTCTATGTAGGGCGAAGGTGCCGACTGCATTGAATCAGTAGTATTCGGTAACACAATACTTATTTTTCCAACTCGATTATTATTGTGTTTGGTAATTTTTGTTTCTGCTCGATAATTTAGTGTAAGGCGAGGGTGCCGACTACTCTAAATCGGTTGAATCGGTAGAACGTTTTTTTTTTTCTCTTTCCTATTCCACACATTTATGTGTTAAGAATTTGAAACTTTCATAAAGTTTATTTTATTAGGAATATTGTTTGTATTCGAATGTTTAGTGTAAGGCGATGGTGCTGACTACTCTAAACCAGAAGCGTTTCAATGCATAACAAGAAATCCGTATATTGGAATATTTTCTGCAATAAATTAATTTTAATATAACTTTTGTTTTCATATTTAAATTGACTTGCTGTTTTATATGGGGCGAGTGTGCCGACCATATTTAACCAGTTGCATGCCAGTCAATGGAAATTTTATTAGATTATTATAAAGTAATCATTTTTTTTTCTTTCCTCTTTCTTTACTGTTAGGTGTAGTTGGATGTTATAAAAATAACATTCGTTATTTTTATAAAATCTAGTGGGGGGGAATTGTAACGTCGTATTTACGCCGTCACATACATAGATAAATAATATATGGTTTGACATCCGTCACTTAAGGATTTTCCCTATTTTTTTTTAATAAACGAAACACATCTTTAAAAATTGTCTTAATTTCATAAAACATTAAAATAAATACGTAATAATTGTTATTCTAAATTTAAGAAAACTTTTGTAATTTATGGTTAGTCCATGCCCAAATTTAAATTTTAATGCGCCAACACTGAGACTCGCGGCGTTTTTGGAAGTGCGACCTGGCAACATTACTTTTCGGTTCTTTGCAAACACGAACAGTCACTTTTAAAAATGTGAAATATAATAATAATTTATAGTTCGGTTTCTTTTTCCAAAAATGCGCTCATCGCATTTTTGCAAACTAATATTGGTGCCAATGGCCCATTAGTAAAACTTTAAAAGAGCTGCGATTGCAGGTAAGAATTAAGATTAAAATTGTCATACATAGGTATATCTAGCCATGTTGCCTGGTCTCACAAATGTCTCTTTTGTTTCAGCTCTTTATACTCTTTATCTTGTCTTTATCATCTTTAATTTTAATGATATCTTTATAAATATCATTTTGATATCCTTGACCATGGACCAGCCATAATAGTCTAAGTAAATCTGATACTTAATGTACTTTGACGCCTGGAATCCTATCTGGTATGTACACTTTCACAATAAATAATTGAAGAGGAAAACACCTTTATCATTCAACCCTAGTCAAAACTGGACTTGAGATTAAAGGCCGATGTTCCCGTAAGTTATTCCGGACACCTGGAGATATCACCAGCTTCCCGGCGCCCGTTACAACTCTCACTTTAAATGGAAGCTGAGAAGCTAAAATCGGCTACCATCAACCGGCCTTCTCCAGCCTTTTTCGTTCTTTTTTTGAAATAACTAACTATATAAATAATTTACACAGTTTTTTAATTTTTTTACCTTACACTGTGCCCCTGCAATGGGGACATTAATAGGCTGATGATGATGATGCAAATTCTCACACTCCATGGGATTAGTGTACTGTCTTTATAGTGTAGTATCGACGGTGTACTTTAGATGTAGCGTAACATTGATTGGTGGGGGTACGCTCCATTCAATATCCCGTCGTTGAAATGTTTTCGATACAGAGACTGTCGATGCAGTGACTGTCGATATTATGAACCAGACCCCCGTCTAAGTATAGGGTTTACAAATAGAAACCGGGTATGTTAAAATTCAAATAAAGAAAAGAGTTTACAATAACATTAAATTTACTCTTTAGCATTTGTGTGGAATAAGTCTTTGTTAAAATTATCATACACCACCCACTCATATGGGTAGCCTTAATACGAGAAGTCCAATTTTCATCACTTTTTGACATAATCGGACCTCTATCCTGTTGATGACGCTTCTTTTGTTAAGCTTTAGGTCTTCGATAGTTCTTGGATTGTTCGCCTACACTTGCGATTTTACATAACCCCCAAAAAGATATTCAAGGGTCATTAAATCACATGATCTTGGACACCATTTTTTATCCCTGAATCTTGAGATCCGAACTTGTTGAATTTCTCTTTCAATTAATTGTCTGTTACTCTGGCAATATGAGAGGTAACGCTACCCTGCTGTACCCAATTGTCCCTCAGACCAATTACTTTCAACTGCAGACAAAAAAATCCGCATCATGTTCCAGTGATGATCACCAATTCACAATTAGGGCAGCACCAACAAATATGGACCACTAAAGCCCCTAGCCCAAAATACGCATCAGATAGTCAGTCTTTCGGAATGTAACGGCTATTCGAGAATTTCTTAAGGATTTTTTTTATTCATAGCCAGGTAGGCAAATGTGTCTGACCACCTGATGTTAAGTGGTGATAGAGTCAAAACGCGAAGATAATTGGTACAGCAATTATAAACTGCCACGCCAACCATCCTCACCTTGCCGGCCTGCAAAAATGCTTCTTCACGCCTCTTAAAGGACCCCAGATTGTTGGAAGGAAGGATCACGATTTTTAAGCCCCAACCAGTTGTTTAAAAGTTTTTGCACTATTTGACGAATAGTGTCCTCCTTAAGACGTCTATGTTAATCACAAGTTTTTTAATAAAGCACGAAACGTGTGATGAATGGAACTACCGTTTTGACAATACTTTTTAAGTGATTTCAACGCGTTGTATAGCGACTGGTATAATAAAAGCCGAACGTTTTGTAATGGATCTATAAAAAATTGTACCAGTAGACGATCTCATCATCATCAGCCTATTAAGTTCCCACTGCTGGGGCACATGCCTTCCCTATGGATGGAATAGTGGCCCACCACGCGGGCCCAGTGTGGATTGGCTGGTGCTAACGACTCCAGATGCTGCCGGGACCAACAGCTTAACATGCCTACTGAAGCACGGAGAATCTCGAGAGAGATTTTTGGTCACCCATCCAATGACCGACTACTGCGAAAGTTGCTTAACTTCAACGATCGCAGCCGAACGCGCTAACCACCTGCACCATTGAGCTCCTCTATCTAGATAGATGACCTAATATGACCTATAACTAGGATGTTAAAGATATATGCCCCGCTCCTTTTAGAAAACCCTGTATAACCATTAGTGACGTGCACCAATAAGTTCTACTACTCTTAACAGTAGCGTCGATTTTAATTATATCTATTATAGGTGTCGAAATAAATTAATTTGGTACATAAAGCAAATAATTTCGTTTCGGGCGCCGAGTAAGATTCAAACGGGTACATAGAGAATTGCTTTTTAAACTTGTTCACTCGTTCTCGTATTTCGCCACAAGAAATAGTTGAACTGATATCAGCGCCACTGGTGGTGAGTGGCTACAACTATTTAGTAACGTCGACTCTGTTGGCCCTCTTGCATTTACACTGAAATATAAAAAACTTTATAAATAAAATACTGAACACGATATCTTTTTAATATTTTTGTTGGCAATTTTATAATTATATTTAAAAAATACGATGACATTTAAAAAAAACACGTTTATTGAAGTCGTTAAGAGATAAGTGTTCCTAAATCCTTTTTTTTAACTTTGCTTTTAATTAATCGTCATAATTAGTAAAATGTAACTACTACATATAGAACATTGTATTTTAGCATCTAAATTTCAACAAAACATCGAAGTTTTGGTGTGCCATTCTTTGCTATGCCTAACACTATACTACTGAAACTTTTCTGTTAATTTTGAAATATTTTAATACATCAAGTTATCAGGAGTTTATTCAATGACAAAATTTCTGCAATAAAATGCTTGATACGTGCATGCTTGATTACAAAGACGAATTAATTCGTTGTAGAATTAATATTTTCAAATAAAATTTTCAGAATTGTAACTACTTATTCAATTTTATTTTTGTTTTCTGTGTAGATATGTACTTTTGCCTTAAGGTAAATCTGTCCTTCTGCTAATCTGAGATATTGCTTATCTGTCCTTCTGCTGAAGAGGGGTTAAAATTGATCATTTTAAAGTCATTTTATTTAACCCTTTTTTAATAGCATTGTGGAACCACATTCAATAGAAAACTAATAATTAATTTACTACAGATAAACAAGTGAAGAATCTCTTAAAGGGCCAATCATTATCATACTTTAAATCTAAAGAAGATATAACTAGAAAAAGTTTCACGCGGACCAGGCAGCAGACGGGACTCGCACCCTTCGCTATCCGAGCGAATGCACTGACCAATTATGCTGCCGCGGCCAATTATGCTTAAATACGGAACCCTAAAAATAAAAATTGTAATTATCATACTTATTAAAAGTATGATTTAATTTCCAGTGTTACCTCGGCGACGCGTTCCGCTGCGCCACGTGTCCGTACCTGGGCATGCCCGCGTTCAAGCCCGGCGAGAAGGTGATGCTCGACCTCAACTCTGACGTATGAGCTGGAAACTTAATATTGGTATACATTTATAGAACTAATTTTGTTCACCTACTGTGACCGTTTATTTCAAATAAATAATATGATTGTAGTTTTAAATACTGTAGTTTTTTTTGCTCCTAGTTCAGTAAGACTAGCTGGTCATCCACTAACGCTCATTCCTGCCGGCATCTATAATCCGTACAAATTGAGTGGTAGTCGATGTGCGAGAGTGAGCAAGCAATTGACTACCATTCAATTCGTACATATTATAAATTCCAGCAGGAATGGACGGTAGTGGATGGCCCGCTAATAAGTAGAGATTTTAAGTTTGAAGAATAACAGAATAATAATTAATTATTTGCACCAATTCTAGTTTCAAAGACAGTAGGAGTATTTTTCTCCTCTAGATAAGTAAGAATAATTAATTAATATAGGTATGCTAAATAATCATTTCACTAAAATATTAAATCATTTGACGCTTTGTTAAGAGTTGGAGTTTCTACTTAAGCGCAGCGGTTACTTATATCTAGTGCTGTCGTCAAATGAGTTTCCAATCAAATCTTACTTTACCTTACAGAATACCACAGTGAAATACCAACACTACCTTAATGCTTAAAAATAAAAACATAACTATAATTGCTATTTCTTCTTTCAAATGTTTAATAACTTGTAGAGTATTTCATTTGACATAGTGGGTTACCTACAATGCGAAGAGATGGCGCTGCCTTGCAACCTAAGGCTAGAGAAAATTCGACACGGCCGTCAGGGCCGCGGTAGCATAATGGTCAGTGCATTCGCTCGGATAGTGAAGGGTGCGGGTTCGAGTCCCGTCTGCTGCCTGGCCCGCGTGGATTTTTTTTCTAGTAAACTTCTTTAGATTTAAACATCTAGCAGTTAAATGCTCAAAAAATAAATACATCACTACATTTGATTGATGTTTTTCCGTTGATTAGTAAGGTTGCAGGGCTCCACTGAGTATAGGGTAGGTAATTAGGTTTCATGGTCACTAACTAACATTATAGTAATATGAGTTATTTACGGGATTGTTACTGTAACTCAGTTACTCCGTGATCATGGCGCTTGCAACAGTGCCGAAATATCGGAAACTCGCTAAAAACGAGGTACATGGTAAAAAATCCCGTAAATAACTTAATTAATATAAAATTAGAATTCAGGCTGGCAAGGCAAGGATTGCCACGATTTTCTCTGTCACATAAGCTCCTCTCGCAATTAGACTCCATTTTATAAACACTTTGTTAAAACACGGTTAAATCACGTCTGATAAACATGATTGGATGTAAGGAATAGAAATATTTACGAGGCAGACAAATAAAACAACTCTGTAGCAAATATTCATTTATACATAATTTTCTCTTCTTTTTACAAACAGTTAACTTAACTTTAACATATGATCTCGGTCTATAACATTTTCCATTTACATTTAATTCTGAAATAGTACTCATTCCGCTATACAATAAAATATACATATACTATATAATTTTGCCATATTTGTCATATAATTACATAACAATTATATAAAATTATATTTATCTATGAATTAAATGACACAACATTTCCTGTTCTCACAACTTATACGTACAACGTGACGGAAATTCGAAAATTATGTTTATTAAAAATACAGATTAATTTTTTAATGCAAACTACTTTGTGGTAAGACGAATAATGATATTAATCGTTATCGATTTACATTTTTTTTAAATCTGGTAATCCTGTTAAATGGTAAAGGTCAAGTTGTATGGATGAAAATTTTATTAACACGGCGATGGCACAAGTAACATGGTCGACTTATTGTCTCTTGGCTACCGTAACAACTATGGGAACTTACTTACTGGCCGAGCTTAACATTGGCATACGAAGTAGTTGAAAGTGTAAACAAACTATTTTATGCTTTCTCTTGTGGTCTTCTGTATTAATCATAAAAAAATGGAAAGTGTCTTAGTCCAGATCTAAACTTGGCCTTTAAATAGACAAAGATTTTTGAAAAATATGCAAATTATAAAACAGAATTTTCCTGTGCTTTTCTAATTAGATTTACATGCAATTCTTTTATATGTAGGTTCGTTATGAAATGTAGACCATGGGCTTGCTCAAAGAGGCCAGTTTCACTTGTTCATGTAAAACAGATAGTTATGGATGGTATATTAATAAGTTCCGAATATACCTTAGGTTGCCCGGGGCTATTGTAGCCAGGGGGCAAATGTAGCTGTTTCAAATAACTCGTAACTGTTTCGAGTTATTGTCGAAATCTATATGTAAGTCAATAAAAGTTACTCTACAGAGCCACAGATTTAACTTATTTTAAAAGCGAAACAGTAACAAGGAATTTGTGACAGCTACATTTGCCCCCTGGCTACAATAGCCCCGGGTGACCTTACCTACTATCGTCAAGGACCCTAATAATTGTATTGCCATCAATATTATTTCTTCCAGTTTAGATGTATTGTATTAAAATATATCTTTTGGCACTTATTGGTGGTATAAGTATCTTAAAATATTCGAAATAACTGCGGTTGCTCATTGTAAGTGCAATCATTTTATTGGAAATTCATAGATACTTTATATAAAAGAATTGCATATAAGTAAGTCACAACTAAAAATCTCTTTTCAGATATCATTTATTGTGTTTGGTGAATACTTACGATGAGGTTTTGAAGTAAAATATAAAGTTTTTGTATCAATCAAAAAGAATATTTCAACATAATAATATATTTATAACCGTAACTATTACGTTAAAACATCATCGAAGAAACACACACTATGGAAACTTAATCTATTTAACATGTTTTCATCCAATTGTGATAGAATGTTGCCTATTCATGTCAGTATTCTTAATGTATTAATTACAAAATATTTCACAACGATGTTCTTTAAAAGATCGATTGTGAATAGGATTTGATAATATGAAATGCATGCCATAATTTTATCTATTCCCGTAATATTAAGTGGTTTACATTCTTATTAATTTTATTATATAAAGATAATTGTGTGTATCATCTATGGGCGCGGAAGAACATTGATTTAACAGTTATTTAATGATACTTATTAGCAAAATTCGTAAAATCAAACGCGACTGTAACGGTACTAAGTCCGCGTAAACAAATCATAATAATAGCACCTTTAATTGAAAAATTAATACTTTCTGAATTCGAATTTTGGGAAATAATACTTTTTGTAACAAATTTTTGTACTAGAGTTCAGCGTGCGCGTCGGTACTTGGCGGAGCTCGGGCCGGAACGAGCGCGTCCACAGTAAATGCTCCTACATTAATTTAAGTAATATCTTCGAAGAAACTACTATCCCACAACATTCAGTAAAGCGTCCCAGTCTTTTTAAAAGTTTATTTTCATCAAATTGAGATCTTCTTTAGACTTGTTTGCGACCGGCCGCGCGTGACGTCAGCGTCACGCGTCGGTGCGCGGTCTTAGTTTGTGAGGTAGGCTTAGTCATGATCTAATGAAACGCCCTGTTAGAAATTACCGATTAATAAAATGAGATCTTTCATTACAATTACAAATAATATAAGACGATAAAACTAGAATTACATACATTATACAACATAATTATTAACTTTTGTACAACACCGGCCTTAGGTACGGCGTTCAATAATAATAGATCTATGGTAGTCGGTTAACGACATACTATTAATAAGCACGTAATGTTTACGGTACAATGAAATCAACACTACAAACTTAACGAACCATATCCGATATCCGTCTGTTCGCGGGCTAACTTGCATTGCAGTCTACCAAGTCTGTTCTTTTGCATACGGGTGTGATGAACTAGCGCCAATAAAGAAAAAAAAATGGGGACGCTAGACATTGTGTCGTTTTCGCACATCCTTTCAGGAATAATGTGCGCCAAGAACAGCATAACTTGCGTCGTCATTTGAGATTGGCTTCTATATTGGAGTTAGAAAGATAAATCGTTTTACACACATGGTTCATGGTCAGACAATTGTAATCAGTTTGAAAATGGTTTTATTAAATGAGTAGTGTGCGCGAAAAGTGTAAGAAATAATTATAATTGCACGACAAATTAATAAAAAAATCCTATACATTTTTATATTCATTCTTATCAAGACTGATGCACATGACAAAGTCCTACACATGCACCGCATTCCAAAGCCAACAATAAATGGAAACTCTAAAATTTTTAGGATTCTAAAATGGCTTGAGAGAACTCGTGAATTGTTATGAAGAACTAATTTTTTTAGAAACATGTACTTTAGAAATTTTGCGGCACCAAAACACATGCTTGTATCAACAAAGAACATTATGATACAGTACAGCAGTCTCGATATACAGGTATTGGTTAACTTATTACAGTATGTTAAACAAATACATTGGCGAAAATTGATCTCGAACAGTAGCACCGGCCCTAAAGACTGATCAAGGTAGAGTAGCCCTTTGGTTGGGAACTCTGCCAATTTGATTTGTCGCTGGAAATACTTTTACACGTTGGGCGCCATTGCTATTAGACTCATGGCGCCCCACTCTACCCAAGGGCCGACACTGGGCAAAATTCATAGAAAGATAAACCTACTACGATTCAAACGTGATGGCAGCTTCGAAGTCGCGCGCGGCGCAGTAAACGAAATGCACTGAATCCTACGCAGTTGCACTCGCTCGTTGCTAATTTAACAACCGCCATAAAGTTTGAATCGCACTATCTACACCGAATGCGAGCTGATATTTTTGAGACGTGGCTTATTTTAAAAATTCAGAATTTTTACGTTAGCTTACGGGCTAACAGATCGTCCAACCACATTCGGTATAGGTTTATGGTGAACATAATGTCTAACTGTACTTACATGCTTGCGTTTTATGCGAAATAAACCATTGTGATTCCCAGAACATATACGATACTTTATAAATATAACCATTCACTTAATGATTATTACATAAAATCAATTTGATTATGATATGGAATATGGCCATGAAATTGCGTGAGTCTCGTGGAATAATGATATTAATAATGTGTAGGTGCCTGCAGATTGACTCATCAACAAGTAACTTGTAAAAATAATAATTTTCCAAAATTTCATGTTTTGGAAGAAATTATTACTAGTAATACAAAAATTGATATTTTAGTTGAAAAATTTGTTTGAAACAACGTGTCGTTGGTCAATTGAAACATTGCGTACCTATAATGGGTTTTCCAATGATAGAAAATATATAAGATAGAAAATAGAAAAATAATTTGCCAAACACTAGGGACTTATAAATCACAGACGCTAATTTGTCTTCGGGCTTTAAATTTTCTTTCTCGTGTGTTTTGTTTTTGAGTATATTACAATAATTTCCTTACCGATAACGCGCTTACCCTAAAACATATATTTCCTTTATTCAAGCAATACTTCATACCTTAACTGACCCAATAACTACAAAATATCACAGACTGTGTGTTTATTATGTATACATTTTCTCATACAAAATTATATGTATCACACATGGACGTCAAAACCAATAGATGACATCTAATAGTGATGATTTATACTTAGGTATATATATACCGTTACATAATTAGTAATATATACAGAGTAGCATCTTCCAAAGTACCTAACGAGCGAATATATAGACGAAAACGTACGGGAATCTCGACCTTAATCAACTCACGCACGTACGAATATACCCGAGATTCCCACACTAAGTACTAAGTACGTTAACGTGTTTAGCCCTTTAATGCTACTCTGCATGTATTTACTTTATGTATAATAATTTACAACAATGTTTCTAAGACGGATGAATATTTTTTAACCATCTGAAAATATATCTCTGCCTCAGAACTTCGATTAAGTAAAAAAATCCATTCAGTAGTTTTTGGGAAACTTACCTGCTTTGACCATTACCTACCTCGAGATCTTATATGAGCGATGAGGCACAATCGCTTCTCTATTAGTAGTCAATAAACCATCAGATATATCCAAAAATATGTCAATTTTCTTCAATTGTTTTTAATCCTGAACTCTTAACCTGAGGAGTAATTTTGGTTACGTTTAATTCCTATTACAATACATTTCAATTTGTCACAAAAGATTATATATAGTTTGAAGTTTGTAAAAAACTGTCAAATGCTAAATTGAAGATAGTAGGAATTAAAAACAGATAATCAGATCAGGAGGCTGTTTAGACATAATAATTATCTGCATATTAGGTATCGGTTGAGAAAATTGCCATTTTTTGGAAACCTAAGATGCTTGATGCATTTGCAATTTTTACCATTGCAATACATGTTACAATTAAAAAGGGCTAATTTTGTTTCTTTGCATTTGAGAAACAACTTGATCCTTGGATTAGTTTTATACAAATATTTAAACTTCCTTTTTACAATATATAGAGTATAATATATATTCATTGTTATCAACATTTATTCTAAAATACGATCATATTATTTGTCAATGCTATTCAGCGAAGTAGCCTACTATATAGATAAAGAGGAAAGACTCATTTGTTTAATGTACGGTGAACGAATTCCGTATTACAACGACACAAGTCCGATATGTATGCAGTCACAACCATTGGCGCTTTGACTGCGTGATAAATACAACTACAAATGATCCGGAATAATATGGAATATCAGTCAAGACTTTAAGCACACGTCAGCCCTCACTACACTACTATCTAACATTCATTGTACCTTAAAATTTTTCGTCTAAAATATGCATTACCGCTTGTCTCTGGCGATTTTAAATCTCATTGGTTATCACATTATCTCACCTACATTAAGATCTGATAGAAACTCATTGTTATTTTTGTGCTCTATAGAATATTACTCCATGTTTAAAATTGTAATAAAACAAATTTATAAATATTATAAGAATTTTTAGACATACGTAAAATTCACGCGAACTGTACACCAGATGTTCAGTTTCAAAATTCAGTTCAGGGATTAGTTATGTAAGTTCCATCATTTTATTTTCAACTGCATTCTGATTTTCATTAGCGTAGGTAGCTACGCTAATGAAAATTAGCCTAAGTCGTAATAAAACATTTCGCCTAAAGCCAGCGTTCAGTAATTAGTAATGTAAATTGTACAAATACATCTTAACTATCTTGCAGTTGGCGTGCAGTTTAGATGTAGACCGTATGTCTATAAAATTTATGTTCTCTCGAAAATAACGATTGCGTGTCATTACAAAGATAACGTGTAGTCAAACTACACTTGAAACGCTACTTTTTGTGACACATAATTTTCGTCATGGAGTGGAACGTTCAACTTCGACCTATAAGTTACATACAATATTTACAAACATATCGTACATTTACAAACGTACAGAAGCACCCGACAGTAAAAAGCACCTAGAGTTCCCGAATAGAATATCATAAGCGTACGTCCGGACTGCTGCCCGCCGCTGGGACTGGACACTGTGTCACTGGGTTGATGTGAACGTGGGCAGAAAGTCCAACTCACCGGCGACACAAAAGAGTAGGCTCGTCACTAACGTTTTCACAAAAAAGTTGATTCCGAGAGTTGCAACGTAGATTACAACACCATAAAGGTCCGAGCGCTTGGAGCTCCAGTGTCGTTCAACGTTTCTTGGGGGGCGGACGGTCGTCCTCGCACACGTCGGAGGCGGACCACCGCCTCTTGCGGGCGTCTTCTTTGACGCTGAGGTTTTCTGGGTGCGTTTGGGGCGGGGCGGACGTGATCATGGTGTTTGTGCCTTGCGGACCCGTCGGTCCAGGATGGCCCGCGTGTCCCGTATGCCCCGTGTGGCCCGTGGACGCAGTGGACGTCTGGCTCGCATGTTTGCGCGCAACCAGAGACACGCACACGTCGCCAACTTGTAGTCTTTGGACGCTAAGGCCGTACCGCGCCAGCGTGCGCTCAGGCCTACACGACGCCCAGCCCCGTCCATACACGAAGAATGGGTGCTCGACGGTTGATTCGAGCTCCACCTACAATTACAAAATTTGTATGTTTATATATTATTTTACTTTATGGTATTATTACAAAGTTTAGAACATCATAATATTATTTATTTCTTATGTTTTCAGGCACACCATTTAGAGAACATCATTATATTATCGAGCTTGATGGCCTAAAATGGTAAGCGCGTTTGGTCTGCAATCGTGGAAGTTAAGCAACTCTCGCAATGACCGGTCATAGAATGGGTGACCAAAAATTTATCATCTCGGCCTCCTCTGAAAGGCACAAGACATTGGCCCCGGCAGCATTATGCACCAACCAATCCGCCCTGAGGCCGCGATCTACTTAATCCATCCATAGGGAAGGCCTGTGCTCCGGCAGTGTAGATAAAGAGGCTGGTGATGATGATGATTGAACATACATAGATACACCGTTTTTTTAATAGGAGCACATCTCGAATACCGTCTGATTGCTACAATGGCCCATTAAACGAACATAAATACCGAGATGATGCCCACTCCATGGAGTTTATCACAGTAGCAACAAACAATGGAGTAAGTAATATTATGTGTGACGAATGGCGACCTGGATTAATGCTACCTTTAAGGTCTTCCTGAAGAACGCTTTTGACCTTATGGTTATCACTCAATCAGTCGCTTATTGTACGAATCAGTCTTACGTGCTACATGACCCGTCCACTCCCATTTCAGTCTGGTTGATAGCACAATATTGTGATTACCTGCGACCTGTTCCTGTCGTACGTGAGCGTGAGTGCCAGTTTGTCCCCGCGCTCATCCAGCCGCAGTAACGTGCACTGCGTGAGCGTGAGGTCTCCGCTACGATCCGCGCTCATGACGAAGTCCTCCGTGCGCATCTCCTCGACCCGACGCAGAGAGCCGTCTTCAAGGCGGATGAGCGCCCCGCGGCAGAAGTACGGCGCGGGAGCACCTCGCTCCGGGGACATGGGCGGCTCCTGAAATGTTTAACGATAGGCTAAGTTCTATTGCTTATAAAGACTTTTCCCATAATCTGGAGTCATGACTTTCCTGTGTATGTGTACGCAGGTGCTTATTTAATTTGGGAGTCAATTATTGGTCCACGTTTCGTTTTGGACGTTGATCTTCAGGCGTGTAATTGATTTTTATATGATAAAGCTTTCATCAAGTCGACATATAGTACTTGTTCTTTCCATAGAGGTGGGTCAACTACATTATTTTTGGCGCTCTTACCTCTGTTATGTGGTCGTGTAAATAATTTGCTCTCGTAATCTTTTAAATCATATTATAACGATTGGTATATCAATGCTTACCTCACGCGGGGGAGGCGCGGGCGCCGGCGCTGTCGGTGGCGAGTGCGGTGCCGGCGCGGGCGGGACGAATCCGGACGAGTGTCGCGGGCGCATGGGGTACGCCGCTGGCGGCTGCAGCGCCCGCGTCCTGTACAGGTAGGACGCGTATCCGTGCGGCAAGAAGGGCGTGTAGGTCGGGAACGGAGCGGGCGGTGCCGGCATCTCGCGGCGGCGCGGCGGGTAGCGCGCGTACGGGCGCGGCGGCGGCGCAAGGAACTCGGGTGTCATGCCGGCCGGCGACGGTGGCGGATACAGGTGGCTCAACTGGCCGAGCTGCCCCAGCTGGGCCAGCGCCTCGCTGGGGAGGCTCGCCGAGATCATCGGACGCGCTGTGGACAAACAAAAGAACGTAGGTTAGTGATATTGTTTCTAAAGCTTTAAATCAGCACAAAACAACATAGATTTATTGACTTCGTTTCTTCAGCGTTAAGACTTTATTTGCGCAAGGCAAAGATGCAGAGGCGTATTTATTTAAGGTCAAAAGGGGCAGTTGGCCCGGGGCGCAGACTGCGAGGGGCGGCTGCAAGAACTGTGAGGAACCATTCAAAAGCATTCGTTAGCCGTGACAGTCCGTCAAGGTGTGGATGGTCAATGCCGCATATTTATAAGCTCTATGAAACTGTATCAAATACTGATAATAATATCTTAGCATATGACCTTTCCCATCCAGAATAGAGCGGGATCAAAGAAATAGATACGAATTTTTACTTAAGGCAGGAAGCAAAAAATCTATCAATAGAAAGGATACTTGCTAAGATTAGGTAGATTACCCAACACAAAGGCAAATATTAATAGACTAGTCCAGACTAGTCGTTCAGCATACCTTATACATTTTTGTAAATCTTACGCAACTCATTCAAATCTTCGGCTCGATCCAACGTCGACTAGATCTCGTCCAATAAATACTTGGTGGTTGCTAAAAATGGAACTTTACACTAACAGGCACCTAAATACCCATATCACAAAAATGACCCATTATTCTTTTAAGTGTTTTACATTGACTATTTCATTTAATCCAAAAAAATAAGTTACTCTTTATAAAAAAGTATACCGACAACCGGGTAATAATAAATCGCGTAATTATACGGAGGCGTTAGTAAGCTTCATTATAAAACATATTACGCTTACTGCCGACATAAAGCTTCAGTGTTATCGGCACATTTTGTCGGCAGATAATAACATTGGGTGTGTAACTGTCCATAAATAATGTCGAAACTAGATCGTACGGAGCCCTTGTTCTCGTAAGCGTTTGTGGCATCCAACATCTGCGTTAGATTACTTTGAGACGCGTTTTACTACTCACAAGATAAGATTGTGAACGTCAACATTATAAATAGACTTTTAAAAGTTAGTAATTCAGTATGTTCGCCATATGACGTAGCTTTGTCTGTCGTGTTATGCAGGCGTTGCTTACGTTCTAATAATAGGACGCGATCGTGTTGGTATCAAGCTAGTAGCAGCGGTCTGTTGACTCTAACCGTGTAGGTTACATTGTTGAAGTATTGCGCTATGGTTAATTTAATAAAATGCTGTTTCATCGCCACAAGGATAGGAAAGGCAAAGATACCTGCAGTGCTATTCTGTAACTTAAACATCTATGGTTTCTACTATTATAACCTACTGGAAGAAAAAAATTAATACGAACCTACTTGTAATGTTTTATAAACAAATAACTCTACTGTAGAACATACAAATTGCAAGTTTATTGGAATCACCTTGGGGTTCCAATTTATGTTAAAAGGTGGCAAACAGGCGCATGACCCGCTTAGTGGTAAGTGGCCACCATAGCCTTTAAGATGCTTGCTATACTAAAAATATCACTCGCAGCGTTGCCTGCCCTGACCCAATCCCCAACCCCGTGGAGCACTGGGACACATCACCACCAAAGGATAGTATTATTTTACTGTGATCGGAGGATCGTAAGGTGGAGGTTACTTCTCCAGCCGGGCGCTCAAATTCGAGCGGAAATTCCGCTATGCCCTACATCTCTTGAATACCATCATACCCATAGGATAACATTTTATACGAAATGTAACATGAGCAATAATAATTCAAAAAGGTCATCGGGGTTCGTAATAACAATATTGCAAATTATTTGATAAGAAGCGACCTGTGCAACTCCTTGAGTTAATTACCATAACAACGTTCAATACACTTGTTGAATATCTTTATTTAGATAGGTGCCTAGGTAATGTGCATATTGAGTATTAAAAATAAAAATAATTCGGTAGATTAATTATATTAAAGTATCGAAAACAAACCTTATGTAAGTAGGTCGATATGAGTGATGTTATGTGTATCTATTCAGACAGTGTCCATCACTGTTTGTACTTAAATTTTTTTTTTGATAAGGGGCTGACCTATTCACCCCGCGTTATAGTAAAGACGGCATTTTAAAAATAAATTGAGCCAATAACGTGCCGTCTGCAACGTATCATACATAGTTTCATTGTTCAATTTATAGACTATCAAGAACAAACGCGCATCAGGCTATTATGTGTTTGAATTAATTAATAAAATAAATAAATAAGTATATATTCCGACCTACATTCATACCTATATTGATGTTATAAATAGTTTTTATTAAATCACAGTAAGAAATGTGTTTGATTTGCAAACAATTATAATTTAATAAGGGGCGGTTGTCTGATAGGTTAACAAAATTATAATGACAGTCTTGAACCGCCAATCAATTCCCCTTTAATATGGGTTTATAATAAGACTAAATGTCCTATCCTTACCCCCATTTCCAACAAACCCTGATGTTTGATGTAAGTTAATGTTTTCAGTGTTCTTTACACAAATAATGTAAAAGGAACCAACCTATTACCAATGCCCTTTCGGCTGTATTTCATGAACCGTAAATATACTCGTAGTACCTACCTGAAAAAAATCATAGTTACTGTTTTGCAAGAAAAAAAATGGTTTGGTTTTTTCTTTTTACTTTAATTTGAAACGATATCTGATTTCATGAACGATTATGTTGAGAAATTGGGACTTTACAGTTCATATAGGGTATCTCTGTATAGCTTGAGAAAATTAGGTCCTTTCAACAATTTTTGCTTTTAATATTCCAGTTTTTTAACTATGTAAGTTTTTTTTACTATTCCATCCTACTGTATTCACTTTTACCTTATAAAAGTGACTACAGCCTACTGTAGTCACTTTTAAAACTTTCTTACGAATCCTAATTCGTAAGAAAGTTTTTTTTGCACTTGCATCAAAATGTACTTACTGCCTTTCTCGAACTTTCCAGTGCAGTAGATAAGCCTAGGTACTTATCTACTGTAGTGGAAAGTTCGAGATCTACCTGAAACCTTTTTATATGCTACTGTTCCTCTTAATTTATTGTTATTATTACAGCTTTATCTGCACGTCATCACGTGAACATTTCACGATATGAAGATACCTATTTCATAATAATATTATTAAACACTAACTAGGTACATAGTCGTATTATGACTAATTAGCGGTTACTCGACAAACATGATGGCTTTGATAGGATTTTGAACAAAAATAAACGGTTGACATGCAGGCAGGGTTACCATCTTCACCAGGGTCACAAAATAGTGTATTCCGATATTTTTTTTAATAGCAATCTAAAAAAAACTCTTTCAAAATGCTCTTAATCAGATGTAAAGCAAATTTTAATATTAACTCTTTAAACGTATATCAGTATAACTGTACTCTACCCCAAGCACGAACTTTGACAGATCCATATTCGTATCACCATCGTCAAAGTATCTATGGATACTAAGTAGCGCCCCCACCGGACGTAAGAACAAACTAGCTCCTAACAAACTTTGACGAAGGCGATACGAATACTTTCTCACTAGTTGTTCGTGCTTGGGGTACTGATCAAAATACATATAAAACGATTATATGCTGAAGAGATTTCGCAATAGCAACCCACAAACGGGCAAACAGACATCAAGAGATGTGAATGTTGTCAATTACTCAGTACCAGTTACTGCTACCGACTATAACCAGACTGACACCGCGTGATACACGAGTATATTATATGTACAGTAAGTATATTCAATGGTCATGCATTTCATTCATGTACGTCAACGTCAAATAGAAAACAGTGTTAAACTTTAATAAAGTTGAGTCGTGTCGTGATGACTTGATAAGCTACATAGATGATACAATCATGTCACAAGAAATTTAGTTCGTTAGCATTGTTACAAGTTTGTGTTTTTTGTGCGCATTATGTCATTACTAGGCCAAAATTTATAAAAAATATGTTGTCTGTAAAGTCGGTTTACGTACGATAATTTTGTGTTAACGTGTCGTATTTAAATGTATTTCTAGTATGTTTATTTCCACAAAAAAGTTAGACATACTTTCAACATGAGTTTAAGAAAAAATGTCATACAAAATTTGCCTAAACAAGGTTTGAAACCGTGTCTAACTTTTTTGTACTAAGACCGCTAGTGTTTTCATCTCGTTACGTTATTGATTATCAGCCATGAAATAACATAAGAAGAAGTTTAGAAGACTAGGTTTCCACTGCGATGCAATGCAACATCGCGATGCAGTCGATTTTTATCAGCTATTCCAGTAACGAGAGTCACGTCACCGAATGGCATAAAGAAAGAACTTGGACTAGACATTACCAACGCTAAGCATGATTAATGTAAAAAATACCCCACAAATTTGATGTTCACGCTGTTTGCTATCTATGACGCAATGCTTACCTACTGCTTATTCATTTCGTTACTTACGTAACGCGGTTTAATGCAGAGTGCACAATAAAAACTGGTTGATTTTAAACCGATGAGGAGCTACCGGTACAGGTGTATTAATCATTTGCGCTGAATCTCGACTATTGATAAAAAAATGCAATAATGGAACTGAGATCCAGCGATACCGCGACACCAAAAATTTTGATAGCTTTCGAAGATGGATAAATGTAATAAAATTATAAATATAACTAGGTATTGTTTCGTAATGAAACTTGGCGAAGAGATTGCTTTAGCAAAAACACTTTTACTGGCTTACTTATCGACTTAGCTAATGCGATATAAAAATAGTTTACATAGAAGATAAAGTTACTCTGTCCGTTGACAGCTGTAAGATTCTACTAGAAAAAAAATATGCAGCTGTATGTAAGTAGGTATATTTACACATGCGCGTGCGTATGTATATTTTATGTGTATGAATGTATATAATGTACGTAAATATAACAGGCAACAAGTAGTCATGCCATATGCATGCCAATTCAACAAGCAGATCAGTTCAGCCGTTTTAAAAAAAAAATATGTACCTAATTTTTGTTTTCAATGGCACATGTTGATGAATAATCATCGAGGGAATAGTGGCTGATCCCCAGGAGTTTGTGATTGCTAACGTTGCTAAAGTTAACCTAACTTTTAGGTTACCAACTACATTTGTTGGGTTATCATTTATTGTCTTTTTGGGGATCATTTAAATATTTTTCGTTTAATATTTAGTGTATTTATAAATTATGCAATCTCCACGAGAGCTACTGTCGAAGAACTGTTGCACAGTTTGGCAGAATAGAAATAAGTGTTGTACTAAGTTTTTGGAGTTTACTCCTTAAGAATCGATTTGCATATATAAGGGGCCCGGTATGAGAAAAATGTGAGGAGTAAAATCTATCGATGAATGACCTCGTTACGTTTTTGGTGCGCATCCTATGTCGCGCAACTTTGACAATCAAAGATGACGGATTGACATTAATATTTTTATAATTTTTATTATTTTTAAAGCATGTAACTGCTTGATGTTTAAATCTAAAGAAAATATAACTAGAAAAAATTCCACGCGGACCAGGCAGCAGACGGGACTCGAACCCGCACCCTTCGCAATCCGGGCGAATGCACTGACCAATTATGCTACCGCGGCCCTCACGGACCGCGTCGAAATTCTTTCTAGCTATTCTTAAGCTGCAAGGCAGCGCCATCTCTTCGCATTATAGGTAAACCCACAATGACAAATGAATACTTTTACAAGTATTAAACATTTGAAAGAAGAAATAGCAATTATAGTTATAATTTTTATTATTTTTAAAGCATGTAACTGCTTGATGTTTAAATCTAAAGAAAATATAACTAGAAAAAATTCCACGCGGACCAGGCAGCAGACGGGACTCGAACCCGCACCCTTCGCAATCCGGGCGAATGCACTGACCAATTATGCTACCGCGGCCCTCACGGACCGCGCCTTGCAGCTTAAGAATAGCTAGAAAGAATTTCGACGCGGTCCGTGAGGGCCGCGGTAGCATAATTGGTCAGTGCATTCGCCCGGATTGCGAAGGGTGCGGGTTCGAGTCCCGTCTGCTGCCTGGTCCGCGTGGAATTTTTTCTAGTTATATTTTCTTTAGATTAATATTTTTTTAAAATCTGAACTGAATTTAGATATTGTTTCTGATAGAGCAATGGGAACAACGAGGTATGGTACAACCATTGATGCGGTATTTTCAAGATTCGTGAACCACGTATCTACGAACGTCCATGTGTCTTATTTTAAGTTACCATAAACCACTTGTCACTGTAATTAAAATGCAGACAATGTTGATTTAATTAATATTAAAAAAAATGATAATAGTCTGATAATAATAATTACATAATTTATCAACATTCCTAATGATATATTTATGCACATCTGAAATTGACTATTGTAAAAAATTTAATGTAAAATATTTCGTCGATCAGTTATAATAAATGTATATGAAATGAATAAATATATATTTATATTATTTTCATTAATTTGTTAATTTACCCTTTCATTCAGTATCAATCTTTTTTAAGTTAAATAAACTCTTTTTGAGTCTGATTAGAATATCGAACTTAAGGAGTAAACTCCAGTCGTGCGTCGGAGCTGACACACACAATTTTTTATGAGAATTTTAATTAATTAATAAAAAAGACATCTGTGTTAAAAAAGTCAAGTTAACGGTCTTGTGTTGTGTATCTGTCTGTCTGGGTAAAACTTTATAGTTGACATCACCACCAGCGTTACTTTTATTCCCTGCATCTTTTTTGTAGCACTGCGGTTCGTATCCCAGACAAGCGCTCCAAATACCCGCTGTGCCATTCTTGACTTATAGCTTTATTTATACGTATATAAGGAAATAGCATGTGATATTTATATTTAGTCACGGTATAAGACAACAGATTTCACGGTACAATGAGGAACTACGAGTCCGTTAAACCCTCAAGTAGGTACTTACACTCGCGTAAACAAACGTAAGCTTGCTAGCGATCCTCCACACCACATTCTTGCGTGATGGACGCAGGCGTTAATTTCGAGAACAAAGAATGCACGTGCACCTGCGCAAACAATACGCTTTTGTCGAGTTCGAGTTAGCATACGACGCGTATATTAAGGGATGACTGTTGTATGAGACAGTATGGCTAACCACTGTAATGCAAGGAAAGCACTGATGTTTAATCGTTTGCTTAAAGAAACCTGAGTTGTGTTTGTTTGAATAGCTTGGTGCCTGACAGCAACGCAAGTAGAGAACATCACATATCAAAGTATCCAGTAGGTAGATAAAACAGAAAAATTAGACATACATCTGTTTTAAAATTCTATAAAGCTAAATAGAAATATTGGCATTGATACGTTAATTTCGATTCGTTTCTCGAATTATAAATGACGAAACCCCGATATTTCCAAATATTAGGCTTTCCAGACAATGTCACGAACCTATCCGTGGCCTTGTGAATTCTAAACGGTTCACAAAACTAAAGGAAATCGGCAAATATTTCTACAAAAATCGTGCTTTCGGCTTTGTTAAGTACACTGGCCTGCAAAACGAAGTATCATATTTTATTATTTTTTTTTTTTCAAAACTATAGATGTTTGATATTTCAAATAAAAACGTTTTATAGCAAATTTTATCAGCTTTCCTTGAAACTGTAATAAACTATACATTAGTAACATTTTTCCAGCAGGGTTTCGAATGTATATCTTGTGTGCTTATAAAGTTATTGGTATTTTGAAAGTGTGATACTTAGTTTTGCAGGCCAGTGTAGTTCAAAACACAGTTTTTATTATGATTCAATTTCAGGTTCATTTGCCTCAGTTTCCCTTTTCCGACGAGTTTTATATTTACCTCTTTATTGTCACGTTTAGTCAATGATTTGGTAACGTAAAACAATTTAATATTGCTCCTAAAATGGAGCTTAAGCATCTTGATTTAGTTGATCAGTTAATTTAAATAACTGATAAATTGGTCAATTGCAAACTGTAATTTACCTATTTATCAGTTATTTAAATGAATTGATTACGACCTTCGAAATAACTGTATTCTGTTGACTTTCTGTTGGTACAAGTAAAAATCCATGGATTCATGGGTTAGTTAGGGATAGGGCCACTTTAGGCAGCGCACGAGTGAAAGGTACAAGGTAGGTTGTACTCTCTTTTCTTACATGGTGGACCACTCATATTTGCCCAAAAACCCTTGATTTGATCAAATGTATTGCATGAACTGTTCCTTGTGGTATACCTACCACTAATGATATTTATATACAGCTCCGCGCTTACCTAGTTACTGCGTACATTATTTTCGTTATCTCAAGCAAAAATGCCGCACATCCTCAATGAGGAAACAGCGAGATACATTGTTCCATGCGAATGTGACTCACAATAACAACGAAAGATGGCATATCGTGACTAAACCTCTGAAAATTAAAGCTAATTAGCCGTCTAGTCACACGACCAGCTCGTGCTACAGTTATTTCTGCATTTATTTTTCACGAATACCTGAAAATTATAATACTGTTTGTCCAAAAAAGTCTTACCGCCTTGCGTGTTGGTAATTTGTTAATACATCTTACCTAACTTTATGTTCCGATTTTACATAAGATACGCATATCAAGAACTAATGGGTGCCCGCGACTTCGTCATGAAAAATTGGTTTCCCATACAAATTTCCGCCCCCATTTTCTTTCATCCCCTATAGGATGATTTTTGATATAAAAACTATCCTATGTCCCTTCCAGGGACTCTATCTATATACCAAATTTCATTTTCTTATAATTTTTCTTTTGTTTCTACAGTGAATATTTGGTTGTCTGCTAGCAGAAACAAAATACCTCTATATAGTAAGTTAAGTCTGTATGTACCAACGCTATTTACGGAACTTACGTATTTAAATGTAAAATTTAAGATTGATCGCGCAATTTGATTGATGTATGTTTTTCTGGCGAGCGCGCCATCATAGACAAGTTTGTCGCGTAGCGGACAGTATTTTAAATTTAGAGCGTTCTAATTCTGTAAGTTTGACGTCGAGTGCAGTGTCTGCGGCGCTGGTGTGCGGCGTAGGCGCAGCGCAAGGCCGCGGGTTCGGCGTCCGACGCGGCGACCGTAAAAACAAGAACGTTTTATAACTATGAGCTTACTCTCTGAACTCTCAAATAGTATATATATATATTTAAATACTAGCACTCACAGTTGAACACCTTCACAGTGTTCGCGTACATCGCTGATACATTTTGGATACTAACTAAGTATTCCATTGGGTATAAAGCTACGTGACGTTTTCATTCGCAACGATTTCCTTTATTCATTAAACGTACATAGATAGAGATGGCGATATCTTAGAACGGGGGCGACCGGGCGCTCTCTCGCGATGAATGGTGGACCGAATTTGCGAGCGGTACTGCGGAAGTGGCAGCGTCACGTGGTGCTCATACCATTGAACTGAATCTGTGTCACCTCTGTTTGTCATAACATTGTGTTTGCTTTAACGTATACGTACGCCCTCAGTATTAAACATATTATTGAATTCTAATGATTCTTTGCAAATGTTCGAAACAGTTTTGTGCTAAAAATCGCGATCATTCATTACACAGCATCATTAACATAATATGTAATAGGTACCTACTTATTTAATTTATTAATTGATGACTTCATATTATGTAGTTGTTCTATGACTGGAAAATAGACGGTTGAAAAACAAATATAGAGGTATGTATCTATAACACAGATGGAAAACAAAAAATACTACTACCCACTCTATTTCTGACTAATTATTATGATCTGTATTTTAAAGGCAATAGACATTTTCAACTAAAATTATATTACCTATTATGATTCAAGCAGCGTATTAAGAAATGGTCAAGATAGAATCAGTCTACTTCAAAAATCGTTAATGCTCTATTTCATGCGCTTAAATTGTTGCAGCATTAGGCTCGTAATAGCTGGGGCGGGCGGGGCGACGCGGGCGGTCGATAGGGCGCCGCCCGTAACCCACTTCCGGCGCCCGTGACCTTGCGCCGCCATTCACGCCGCGTCTTACAGGCCGCCATCGCCGTACCACCACCCAGTCGCACCGCCCGCCCCTACACGATTTGTTACCACGCCTGCCCTAGTATGGACATAGCAGTAGAGTACTTTAAAACGCAGATATTTGTTGTGGCATTATTGGTGTCGATTCTGGCATGATTCTCTAAACCTAAACTTAAATTTGACAACAGTGTATCCTTGTTATTCTCTAAACAGAATGAAAAGGAAAGACTGATGTTAAATTTAGTTTTAAGTTTAGAGAATCATGCCAGGATCGACACCATTATTAAGGTAAGATATTGTGTATGTACATAGAACGGCGTTACTCTGCCCGTCCTTTTACCGGACATAACAGTAGAGTACTTGAAAACGCAATAATTGTTTTGCCTGCCTTGTTGCCGCCGTTCAAGCTGCGGTTTCATGGCGTCGCCAACTCGAGAGGTCCCGAGTTCGCATCCCGTATCTGTATCCCCATATGTACATATTAGTATATGTATTCTATCCGTTATAGGGTTTCTATCCCATAACACGAGCCTACAGTGCTTACTTTGTGGCTAGGCTAATGGGCGTGAGTGTAGAAAATAATTATTTTTTTCATATTATTATTGGTGATGTTCAGGTTAAAACATTGTTTAAGTAGTTTTTTTTCAAGCAATATGAAGATATTTAAAATATTTTTCCGCACGAGGGTTTGATTTGTAACGTTAGCTTTGATTTAAATCTAAAGAAAAAATTCTACGCTGACCAGGCAGCAGACAGGACTCGAAGCCTTACCTATCTGGGCGAATGCACTGACTATTATGCTACCGTGGCCCTGATGGCCGTGTCGAATTGTTTCTAGCCTTTCTTAAGCTGCAAGACAGCGCCATCTCTTCGCATTGTAGATAACCTACAATATCAAATGAAAACCTTTACAAGTATTAAACATTTGAAAGAAGAACGAGCAATTATAGTTATAATTTTATGAATAAACTTTATCACTGTAACTATTGTTCATGGCCATCAATCAGGTCATGTATTAGTGTTCATTTTTGTTATACAATACGACCTTAAAACAATTTGACATTAAACAAAAAGTAACTTTAAAGGCGAAATATTTAGTTACTGTGGTACGATATTCAACTTCGTTTGCTTCTCAAAATGAGCAACGCACAAGCAACATGCAAACTACATACTGATAGCACTGTCCTTTTACTGTACCTATACCCCATACTGCCATTACCCCGCCCGCCTTACTTTCCCACCCCGCCCAACCTACAAATGTCGGATTATTTTGACTGCACGCTTGATTTGGCTCGTGGGATTTGTTTACTCAAAAGTCGAATAAATTAAAGAAAATATTTGTTCATCAGTCGCGATCCCTCTATTATGCCCTTTTGATTGGTCTCATGATTATAAAATAAACTTTACTTAGTTGTATAGTACAACTTGTTGTTGTTATTTTGATACCTAATTGAAAATAAACAATTGAACAAGAAATACTTACAGCTCCTGTTACTCGCAAAACAGGTTTATTGCAAAATTAGTGTAAAAAAATACTTAGAGGTAAATAGTTTTACGAGGATATAAACCAGAGCACAAAGCCCATGCTCACCACACCACAAAACAAATATTTAACCCATAAACTGCAGCCTACCTCAATGCTAAGCTAGTGATGTCTTAAGCAAGCCATACACGCTAGGGTATACCTGACAAGTTTACCTGTACAGTTCAACTGCACAGGTACACGAGGTTTATTTTGATTATAAAAAAGAAGTTAATAATAATAAATAATGCTTTAAGGATGAATTCAAACTTTCATTTGGGCATAATAATCACTTAAGTGACAGAAGTTTCAGGTAAGACAGGGATAAATAAGAAAAGCGAACGGAAATTAGAGAAATGCGAATGGAAATTACTTTCTTAGGTTATTTAGTGAGACACCAAAACATTAGTAATCAGCCGCTTTGGTTACGGACGCAGCAATACTGATGTATTCCTAATATGCGGTATGAATAGATATAATTTACTCAGATAATGAGTAATTCATAATTTCTTAACCAGTGACAGAAATGGGTAAAATGTTAGAACAAACATATTTTTCGTTTTATCTAAATAAATAAACTTGTTAAACTGAAGGTATTTTTTTAATAATAAAATATATTAATCTTCTTTCAAAATATATAGTCAGAAAAATTATAGCTTGTATGGGAACCATTAAAAGTAGAAAGTGTATTTCGGACAGTGTTGCCATCAAGTTGACGTATTCGATATATCAGATTGCCGTATTTATAAATAAAAATCATAATATTGCCGTATTGCCTAATTTTATTTACTAAAATTTATAGGTAGTTAGTAACTAATTAATACATAGTAACTTTATTATAAAGGGACCAAATAAAAATTAACCTACCCATTAATATCACCGTCATACAGATTTCTAATAGACTCAACTATTTTGCTGAGCTCAAATCGCCGTATATTACGGTAACTGCCGTATCAATGGCAACGCTAAATTCTGATAACTGGACAGCTAATGGAAATTAGGACAACAACTTATAAAAACATATTTTGGATGTAGTTTTACCTAATTAAGTGTACATAATTACATTACATATTAAATAATTGCTAGAACTAATCCCAAAAATATAATAACCCCGAAATATGACAGACTAATTAGATATTTGTATTGACGCTCAAAAATTAGGTCAGCTGAGAATGACCGAGTTGTGAAGATAACTGATGCAGCAGAAAAATGTGTCATGTCCAGCTATCCTCATCATATGTCGACTTCGACCCAATCCCATAACCAAGTGAAGCCCTACTAGAGCTTAATTCACCAACAAACGCACTACAACACCAAAAATGGAGTGTTATTTCACTTAAGTCTTTTGTAAGGTGCCTGTTACTTTCCTACAAGGGTGGGAAATCCGCTCCGACAGTTAAATGTCGATAGATAGCTAAATCACATCCTGTTTGTCATGCTACGGGGATTTGATTGAAGTTCAAGACGTTGATTTTTTTGTGGTAAGGCCATTGATGTTTGAAACTCTTACCTTTGATCTTATTTTGCAATTTAAATTAATAATAATAAGCATACATAAATAATGTACTTGTTTTTCAGTCAAACTGCTACGCAGACCTATCCACAGAAAACTGTTAAAAGAGAAACATGAAAAACAATAAAGCAATTTAATATATCTACACGGAATGAAGTAAGTGAGATGATGATGTAATGAAATGCTTTTTGCATGAATCAAATTATAAACACATAATTAAATACGAATAATGTAGGTATTATATTTAGGTTGCGGTCTGGCCTTCCTCTTATGAAATATGGCGTCGTTATACATTATACTACATAATATACTTAAATAGAAAGATACAAATTAAACTAATCGTTGTTTTTCACGTTATGTTAATGTTTATTTTTCCCAAGGACGTTCATGCAAAACAAAAGCTACCAGCCTTCACTAAAAAGGGGATAAAACCAGTGTATACTGGTTTACAGTCATTCTGATGTTGAGTATTTATGAGTTTGTTTTTGTGGTCGAGTAGGGGCGTAAGTAATTTATCAATGATAACTACACGAGTATATTATAAATTTTATCATTAGGTATATCAATACTGAATTTACTTAGATTATAATGATTTAATAGGTATGAATGATCGTTTATAATGATGTGACGTTAGTGATTACGAATTTCAATCTATTATTTATAAGGATGTGTAAAAATAGATAAAAATACGTTAATTCTGCTATCTACATAGTTTGGTCGATACGTCTGTTGCGTGGTCAAATGGGGTGCTACTGGTGTGTGGGGTGGGCAGCTAATGTTCGTTAGTATCTAAATCCAGCCATGTACAAATAAAAAATATAATTTGTACCGTGGTATAGTATCATCGATGAAATCAAAAGACATATGGCTATAACTAGATCTGCTATGGTAAGAATAAATAAGATATTGAAGAATCATAATATAACGAAAGCCACAAAGACCCAGCTCGTGAAAACACTTGTGTTCCCCATATTTTTGTATGCCCCAGAAGCCTGGATATTACGCGAAAGTGAGAAACGGAGGGTATATGCTCTCGAAATGTGGTGCTGGAGAAGAATGCTTGAAATAACATGGAGCGAATTCCGAACCAACATTTCAATTCTCTAAGAACTCGGCATCAAGCAGCGGCTGTCCTCTGTTGTCCAGGCTCGCATCCT